CCACGAATTGGTAATAACTGGTGTTGTCTTTGGTACCCTAGCACACTCCGAAAAATAAACATGTTTGGGTTTTTTTTTTTTTTTCTTTTGTTTCTTTGGGGGGGTTTTTTTGGTTTTGTTTTTTTTTTTAGAAAATATTTAAGCAACCCGAAAGGCCGTGTATCTGAAACGGCAAGTTTCAAGTTTAAAATGTTAACACAATTACTTAGGCTTTGTCAACCTTAGTGTAGCGCTTAGTGGAAACTCCGTGGATTATCCATCCCATCCATCTAGCCCAGTTTTCTAAATATTATATGTCACTTGAACATTTAACTGAGAATCTGATTTTTTTTTTTTTTTTTAATTTTGCTCTTCCTTTAGAGGCATACTCTTGGTGCCATTTAATGGTTGGGGGGTCTTTACAGATTTTAAATAGCGTCAACAGCATACTGAAGTTTTGATTAGGTTTTTAACTTGCAGTCTTCTGCAGTGAAATGACGTCTGGTCAACAATGGACTGACTATACCACAGGGGTCCTGTAGGATTACACAGCAATGGAGCTGAAAAACTCCTGTGGCCCATTGAGGTGTAGCTGTTCTAACATCTTAGCACAAGGCATTGTTTGCGGTGATGCTGGTGTGCAGAGACCCATCCCTGTAAAAATAGAGCACATAGGATTCTAGGAGGCTGCCCCATCTAGGTTTTGTAAGCAAGTGCCTTCTGTGATGGTCGCATAATGATGAAATCGCCTAACCACGCATTTCTCAGAATGCGCTCCCTTTGTTAAGCAGCACATGCTTGTACATTGGTATCTCAATGTTTAAGAAAAAGGGAGAGATTTCCTTCTTTCAAACTATTAGAATTCATTGAGTGTGGTTGCAAAACCCATTGCATCTGTTTCTTACGTAGAATATTTAAAAATCTAGAATCTGGCAATTACTTCTTTGGGAACAGAAGTAATCAAAAGTACACATTGTACTCCCGACTATATACAGATTGCTGAAGTTCTCTGCCTGTGGAGTAACGTGGTCTGCTTTTGGTGAAGCATTCCAAACACCAAAAAAACAAAACCAGAAGCAGAAATCACAAACTACAGAACTCTGAAAATTTGAAATATTTAAGTATCTGGCAATCTTGTGAGGGATAAAAATGATATTTTGACAACTTTGGTATTATAATAATAAAAGATCACCAGAAAGCATTAAACAAGTAGTAATTTTTAGAAAATAAAAAACTCTTTAAAGTTACGAGTACATAAACTTGCACTTGATATATTTTTCATGATTTATTTTTACTTTATCTTGTTACTAAAATGACAAAATTCTCGGAACGGGTTAGCTAATATCTTGAGAAGTTTCCCACTCTGAGTATCTGTGGACAAACCAATGATGAGGTTTTGCCTATGGAGCCTAAAATCATTGTGTGTGTGTGTGTGTGTGTGTGTGGAAGAAGGAAAATCTGTTCTCTGTTAGTTCACAGAGCACTTCAATGTGTAGAATTATGTATTCCATGTAGTGAAGAAACAATATCACCAAATTCAGGTGTCAGAATAATTTTGCTATAAAGAACTGTGATGCTAGACTTTAAAAATAACTTGAAAATTTAAAATACTGAATCAGAAGTTAAAAAGAAAATTTTAAAGAATTCTTTGTAAGATATATTAACAGCTTAGTAGGAACTAAAGATTAAGTAGTAGTCTTTGTATTAGCACTAAGAAAATATTTTCTGGTAATTTCTGAAACAAAGATTAGCTCCATCTTAACTTAGTTAAGTGGCAGTATTATTCTGAGGCAAAAAGAGATGGTTTATCTTTTTTTTTTTTGTCAACCTACATGAAAAAAACTACATTAAAAAATACAGTGAATAGGAGTCAGGACACATGGTCTGGCTCCAGTTTTGGTACCACTTAGCTCTGTGAACTTGAACAAGCCTGATTTCTTATTTGATGAGAGGGTTCTGCAAGAATTTTTCAAGTTCTACAAGATCGGCTTCTCACCATCTCTGGGGAACTTTTTAAAAGATGTTGATGTCATTGCCACGTCTAAGCTTCAGCCTGGGTTTAAGGTTTTTAAAAGCTCAGGTTATTCTAATACCTGCTAATTTGAGAACTATATTAGATCACTGTTTTCCAAACGTAGCTAATCATCCAGTTGCTTTGAGGAATAAAAATTTTGTCATGCACTGAGCAATTGAATTAGAGTTTCTATGGGAGAATTGTGGTAATCTATACTTTTAATAGGCTCCCCAGGGTGATTCTTAAGAAATCTGGA